CAGTTTTTAGTTATTTCAATCAGTCATGCATCCTATAATGGTGAGGGCTCTTCTGAGTGGGACACTAAAAAAAATGTAGGAATCTCTTTTAATTGATACTATTACAGTAACAAGGGCAAGGTCTGCCACTTTGAAGAGCTGCTAGGTAATAAAGAAAACATTACTTATTCTATCTTTTATCTCTCTGTTGCTTTGTCATCTTGGCACAATAAATTCAACCTATTTTAAAATATGAGCAATCTTCAAAGGACATCAAGTAATAGCAACAAAGGGGCTACTACTCAAAGCTGGAGACACTACGCTGCAGTAAGGCAGGTCGTCTTAAACAACATTTTATCTATTTTACAACTAGTATCACAAACATAACTACAAGTACAATTTAAAGCTTTGAACAAGCCAAACTAGGTGGAACCTTAAAAAAAGGAATAATACAGATTTATCTAACGCAGTCCTTAAAAGAAACATACTGAATTTTAAACACAAAAAAATGTCTCAACACAGATAGATCTTCACAGACAAGATTGCTGCTTTCAGATTGCTTCTTTCTTGCCAACTGCCACTCATTATCTACCTCACTGCACAACTGTAGAAATGGGATGGCATTATTTGGCATGAAATGAAACTGCTTCTGTATTTCCTCTTCATTTTTTACATTCCTCAGAGTTTTAACTTTTTACACTCACAGAACTCTGCATTCATTATTTCTATATGCTCACAACTGTTTATTTTGTTTTAAGACAAAGTAGTCAGAGAAGCCTCTCAACTTCTGGATCCAAGGAGGCTTTCCTACAGTGCCTTTGAGTGAGTTCACGAATTCTATGAGACTGCAGTAAGAAAGACCAACAACCCAAATCTTACAAAAGCCACTGAAAATATTAGTGCAAAAGGTCAAATTGCACTCTCTAACAGAATCCGAAGTACAAGTTGAACCAGAAAAAAAAAACAACCAGCCTCAAAACTGTGGTATTTCTTTATAACATGGTATATTGAGGAACTGCAGTTTTAGCACTTAGAAGACAAATCTCTTGTGCTTAATTAATTCAGCTCAGATAAAGATCTTATACATTAACATTTAACCATCTATTTTTATAATCCTGCTTCAGTCAGTGCGAACTTGTGTTACCTGCCATTTTTGTACAATACTCTCCATTAACATTTTAGAAGAACACGTTTACTTCTAATTATGTAGTAGTTAGGAAAGTGTCCTTTCAACTTGAATCATTCTAGTTTTCTTCTAACAATAACATATTTTGAGCCAGGCAAGTAGTTCTACAGCTATATCTTTGCAACAACAGCATGACACATCATAAGGCTGAAAAAAATCATTGTAATCCATGAAGAAAATTGTATCAAGATAATAGCTTTAGTCAAGCCCCATATTTTGAAATTAGGAAGTTACATGCAAAAGTAACAATTTTCCACAAGACCAATGTTCTCTCTCTTACATACTATCAATTCCAAACAAACTGTAGTGGTACAATAAGCAACAGCTCTATTGGATCATATGTGCAGTGAAAAGTCTATGATGACTTTTACAACATTAGCCAAATTTCAGGGAGACGTTTAAATCAGTATTAACATATTAAATAACATTACTTACTACTAGACAAAGAATTCTAAAGCAAAGGTTTTAAATGCCAAGTTGATTAATTTATGAAACTCTTAACAGAACATAGGAATACTATTCTATACTCATTGACAGTGATCACCTTTGTTCAGTTACATAAGCATCTACTCAGAACTCTCTCTCAAAAAAAATCAAACAAACAAACCACCCCCCCCCCAAAAAAAAACCCAAACACCAAGACAAAAAAAAACAACTGAGTCCCAAGGAAAATTAATTACTATAAGGGTGCATCTGGTTCAAAAAAGATTATTCAGACTCCATTCACATTAACCATAAAAAACATTTAGGAATATTCACTCCCCTGGAATGGTTGTGGAAAAGTGGGTTAAAATCCTACTGAAAAACATGCCAACCCTGAGTCTGTTCAGAAAAGACTCAGACAACTGCCTTAACCTCCCATCATCATATCAACACACAGTGACGGACAAGAAGTCAACCCAAAATTTGTTCAAGAAAAGGCGAAAGGTCAAGCTCAAAATGTTTTTCTACTAGTTCTGAGTAATAGCCACATCAGACACCAACAAAAACATTCTGTCATTTTCTACTGTTTACTTACAAGTACGCCACATTTACACCGAGCAGTATGAAATGTAATTTGCACATTCACTATGTATTTCTGTGAAAGAAAAGCATTCAGTTACAGAATCAAAACATACTCAAGCTTTCCTCTTACATTTCCTCATATATAAAACTAGAGTTCTGGAGAATTTCATACTCTAACAGCAAGTCTGAATATCACACAAGGAACTCAGGAGATACATAGGAATTTTATTAACAATCTTTTCTCCTTCTGTGTTTCTGATTACTGGAACTGAAGAATCACTGCTGAAGCAGCTCCCTGAATAAGGAGTTTTAAAATGTAATTATGTGAGAAAAGTGTATATGTTAGTACTATGAAACAGTCTCTATTAAAGTTCCTCGCACTTCCCTAAGGAACCCTTCTTCTCTGGATTTAACCTCCAGAAGAAACTTTAACAAAGATCCAGTCTTCTGGATCCAGGATTCCTTTCATACTTAAACATCCTCAACATACTTTTTCAGGGACAGCACCTGAGTACTTCTTCCACTGTATTATGTGCCCTCTATTCCATGAATTTGTGCTCTTGTCTCTCTACTCTTATCTTGAAGATTCATCTTGATCACCTTTTTGTAATTTTACAAACATTTAAACAATTTTGTCATTATATGCAATTCCCACATATTAATATTTTCTTTCCCATTCATCAAATAAAGTCAGTCTTCACTTCCACAATTGAATTTCAAGCATCTTCTTATCTATGACTCCTCACCACCATTAGACAGTCCTGTTGTATGTCACGCAAAAAAAAAAAAAAAAAAAAAAAAAAAAAAAAAAAAAAATTATCCTTCTGTGCTACACAGGTTACTAGTAAGCTTAAACGAAGCCTGAACATTTTCAAAAAGGAGGATAATTTTAGCCTACTTATGGCTGTGATTACATTCTTGCTAATATGAATGCTATTTAAGGATGCAGTATTGTTTTGCTTAAGCTGTATAAATCCCTGCTCTCCTTCAGGCCAAATATTAGCCATCAAGAACAGAGTTGGCAATAAAGTTCCAGAAGGGGAAGATGAATAGAAATCCTCTCTTTTGGTTTTTCAAAAATAACAGATCTGCACAGTGTATTTGTTATTCCATCTTAAACATAGTTAACTTGTATGTAACCTGCAACTCTACTATCCATCACACACAGTATGTAATGACTGATCTACTTTCTTTCTCCTCTCTTCTTCATTCAGCAACACACCTAGCACTGCAAAAGAAACACATATATATGCACGCCTTCTTTCTCCTGTTAACTCTAAAAAATTTATGTTACCGTTTTGGATATTCTGTCAAGAAATGACTTCTCAACTTCCCCTTAAGCTTCCTAGGCTCGCATTTCTGGGTCACTTACTAGCCTAGCTCAATGTATATTTAACGTCTGTACATAACTAAATCTATTTTTCTAATAAAATACTTCCATTGTAACATCCTACTAAACACTATCTTGAAGAAGAAACAATTAAACTTCTCAAAGTAGCATACAAGATGAAAAATTTCAACACATTTTTAACACCTTCATCAGACTATGCTATACCAGTAACAGATCTGAGAATTTCATAACGTTGTTGTCATACAGAAAGTAAAATTAATTTTAAAGTATTATCACTTTAGGACAAGCAAAGAAAACCAACAAAACCACAAAACCTCATAATTATAATATTACAGGACACTTACTGTAGCAAGGAACAAGGATACAAAAACAAGCCAATAATTTTAGGCACTGCCTATTACTGAAGTATTTGTAAAATGAAAAATGTGTATAGATAATTTAAATGAAGTGCAGAGCATGACACAGAGCTGCACTGCAACAGTGAAGTACCAAGGAGGAAAGTGTATTTCCATGGGAAACAAACCCCCTAGAGGTCAGCTTTATACCTTTTTACTGTGACAGCTTTAAAAACATCAAACTTTGGCAAGGTCTGCTGGCTTGGATATTATATGCAGAGAAGTTATGCCTGCCTTTCTTCCAAAGCATGCTGTATTTCCAAAGGAAACAGGCCAGCTCCTCTATGTAGCTTTTATGTAGACTGCATCATCAACTCATCCATTCTCTCTGCAGCTTTATAAAGCAGTCAGACACTTTGATTTCTAAAACTGCATAAAAAACAGACTCCTAGGGATTTCAAGTTAGGTCTTAAAGTGATTAAAAAGTTCAAATAATTAGGCTGTAAATCCTGCAAGCTGATTGAATTTTACAATGCAAAATTCACGAACCAACAAATACTAGACTACATGCTGCCCTCCTCTTCAAACAGAGAGTCCTCCTCATCTATTTTCCATTCTCTTGGACAATTTTTGTATCTATTATTCAGAACAAACACATTCATTAATTTCCTGAAATTAACAGAAGAACAGCCATTGTTGAAGAAAGTGCAAGCTCATTCAAACCATAACAAAAACCAAACAACAGACCCCCCTCAAATCAAACCAACCAAAAAAATTTATTAAAAATAAAATTAATTCACACCTGACATGATCCCAACTATATAAACAAGAATCCATTCTCTTTCCCTAAATTACTTGCTTTATGGACACTGACCTGAAAACTACTATAAAATAATCATCTGAACATTCAGATTTTCAGATTGATATTAAATTATTCTTAGCAATACTACTTTATACTAAAACAATGTTTTGCAATTTTCAAGAAAGCCTTTAACAACAATAAAAAAAGACATTTAGGCATTTGATGATTAAACAGATTTAAATTTGAAGCATTAACCTACATATACTACAGCATTTCTAAGAACTTCACTGAGCTGCCATAATTTCTGTCAGCATATATAGTACTGAATGACTAGTAAAATACCTGAATTGAAACTATTCCAGTCTAGCAGTTTGTATGATCTTGTGTTACCCATAATTCCGACAAAGGCTGAGTTCAAAACAGCAAATTAGTAGATCAGTTATAGGAGCAGAGTAGTGAAAAAAAAACTACCAACAAGAACACAATTGACAACACCACTCCACAGGAACTGGAAAGACACAGACAGCAGAGTTAATAAGAGGCTGAAATAGAAAGGGAAGAAAGGAGCATGCTATAGCAATCTAGCACTAGGCGTGATCAAAGTGTACAGTATATAGCAACTATTGTCTTAATGATTAATTCTCAATACACCTTCACATGTTCTTTCCTCTTCTACATTTTCCTGTTTTATTCATTTTCCAGTTTGTTTCCTTTAATATTTTACAGACTTATTTGACTCAAAAAGCTTAGAATGATCATCACTATACCAGAATTTTTTTTCTACTTCTTCACCTTCCCTCCCATAGCCATGTGCCTTCATTCCACCTTTTGTTTTCATTGTTTTGCAATATACTGAGTTCAAAGTATCATGCATCTTACATTCACTTGTCAGGAGCAATCTACAAGTCCCACAAAAACACTGCAAAGAGCTACGCAGTTGAGCAATATGCATCTCTATCTTCTCTTACTTATTCTGCTTCAGTCAGTTGGTAAAAACAAAGGACAGCATAATGCAAGAAAAGAGGTTTTAAAACATCTGAGCCAAACTGATTTTTCTTTTCATTTTGTCTTAAATGAATTTATCACACAGTAAATTTTGCATATAAGTGACCTGTACCAGAAATCTATTGAAAATACAAAAGCCTAAGACAACTTTGTGGCAAAGAAAGGGAGGACTCACATATAAATGATACTTCCACATTTCTCTTAACCTTCTCTCCACTGTGTAAATAAATCTTTAAAATAGGAAAAAAAGAATAAATATTGTGTACTCATATGCTTTAAGAAATCCCTTCAAAATAGGGGGGTTTAATTCAAATTAAGTCTTGAATTTTATTTCATGTTGTCATTCTACTGAATATGTAGATCAGCAACAATCTACCTGCTTACAGAATTACTTTCCTTTGACCACAGGAAAAAGAAAGAAAAGGATTTTTTTTTTTTAATTGCTTTTAAAGATGCATTTGCACAAACTTTATTCAATTACTCCTGACTAGTGCATGCAAAACCACTACAGATGCTATTTTTTACTCTCCTCTGTCTGCATTTTTAATTACGCTGTTAATTCCAGCTTTTTACAGAGTATTCCTCAGCTTGTCTCAGTGAATATAACAACAAAGTCTTCAATGTCAAAAGTCACTTAATTCTAATGTCAGAACTAGGACATGCAAAATATACATGTTCCAGTACTGGGATTCCCAGGTAAATAATAAATATAAATCTTTAAGTACTGTTCAGTATGTTTTTAAGAATAGAAACAAAGTTGTACAGGTTTTCTCAAAAGAGGTTCAAAACTTATATTGAGCTAAATTGTAGTCATTAGTACTTAAGGATTTCAAGGAGATGAAAATTATAAAACATTCATAGTTAAGAAGAAGTATTTAATCTTATTTTTGTCTGAATGAAAAATTGTATCAAGTTTTAATATCAAAAGGTGGTAAAAAAAAATTAAAATTAAACTCTCAATAATTCCAAGATAGTTTTCACTGCAGTTACTGGATTCAAAGTACTTTATTATTTCATTAACTTGCTGAAAAGTCTCTCGCTAAGAACATACCCTCTGAATGCCTATTATTTTTCAAGCTTAAATTATTCTAAGAAATATTGCTTTTAAAATACATTGTTAGAATAGACTTGTATCTATTCAAATACTGATACAATATAAAGTTATAATGATTAGAAGTACATCATCTTATGACTGGACTTGAGCAAGGAAGTTGTTTTTGTGTTAACATACCAGGATTGTGAATGCGATCCAGAAGCTTCACAGACCGTGCACTGACAACACCACCAACGTGGACGAGAAAGCCTGGTGGAAAGGTCGTCAAGGTAAAAAATGGAAATTCCTGTTATGAGTAAAAACAAACATCAAATGACTGCTTAGCAATCACTGCTGACTGCCAATAAACATGCAGTGAACTGATAACTTCCCTGAAATACAAGCAAAGCAGTTACATTAAGCCAAACATGTCCTTCAGGCTTACTAAGCACCACATAACCATACATCTTCATATACCCATAGTAGAATAAAAGCAGAGTTATTATACAATGTAAGAATACTTTTCCCCCACTGAGTTGTATCTCAGCACAATATTAATAAATCAAAACGTCACATATTTTTGTTAACAAAGCCTCTGTTGGTCCACTTTCAGGATGACAGCTAAGCAACATAATTCTTTCATTAGCCAATACAAAATATAGGAAGATTTTTTTTTTTCTCCATTTTTTAGATCTTATGGTTACAACTGACTGCAGTTTGACACTGAAGTACAAGGTAAAACCAAACTGTAGTCTTGCAAGAACGATTTATGTCTTATTACAGAAAAATATACCTACAAAATATTAGCAGACTACTCTGCTATCATCTCGTAAGCTCTAACAAGTAAATATCCATCTTCTAGAATGAAGCATAAGTCTCTGAAATAAAACTGTAAGTTCTTAAACAAAGGAAATTCACTTCCGGTTAATTTGCATAAATTATTTTTTACCAATTCATAATTAAAATGAAGAATTGATAAGTTTCAGCAACTACTCAAAAACATAGTTCATACAAGAGGCAAAGTAAGTTATAACAGTAATTTTTCATGACACATGATGAAATAAAGGAGTCATATTGAAAGGAGGTAACTCCAAAACTGTAAGGTTTTATTTTCTACAAAGACATTCTATGGAATGTCTAATATACACATGATATCACACTTATGGGGGAAAGGCAACAGATTCATGTTCAGCAATTCTAAATGCACAGAGGCAAAAAAAGAAAAATAAAAGAAAAATCATGCAATTGTGGTTTGTGTAGTCATGATGATTGGTTAAGTGCAAAAAATAAACACCATAATTTTATATGAGAGAAAGTACAGTACAGATTCCTTTCTCACATACTTGAAGCACCTGAAACAGCACAGCACAACTGAGCCTCTACCTAAACAGTGTACGTGCCACAGATCAAATGAGGATCATGGCTCTTCCAGCAATACATGGCATGAAAAGTCCTCTTAAACTAAAACCCAATTTTACCCAATACCTCCGAATTCTTACCACCCTTGTTATTAGAACTCTTACTTTTAAAGTGTCCTTATAAACTTCAAGTTTTCTGGATTTTTGTTTGGCTTAGACTTTCAAAATTAAGAGATAAACTTTGAAATCAGCAACCAGACGGAAAAAAATAAAACAAAAATCCCAGGAAAACCTGCACTTATGCTTTATGATGCAATTAAAAAGCAGGAAGATTTCACCATAGGACTCTGCAAACCTGCTTAACTAATCTGTCTTAAGGAGCACCGACGACTCTCTAGAGATGGCTACAGAAAAGATTCCCTCAAAAAGTTCTACCAACCTGCAAAGCACTTTGCAATCTATCAAAATAGACAGATAGCTCTGACTACAACACAGTCTGAACTCCTTTTCTGTACATCTCCCATGCAGAAAAATGGAAAAAAATGCAGTACATCAACATACTGTTAGAACCCTCTTTCACTGTGGATCTGTAACATCAACTGTTCAGTGATTCACAAGTATACTGGTAATATTTGTCCCTATATAATTCCATGACACGCATTCTGCATAACTTATATATTTAAATATAACATACGTTTGTTCTTGTCCCTTGAATATAGTTATCCCACATTAATGACATTTAAAATAATTAGCTTTCCCAGAACTACAGAAGTCAGGGGAAAAAAAAAAAAATCTACTGCATATGCCACCTAGATGAAATTCCATTAAACCTATACTACATTTATATATTATGCATATATGTATTCACACTTACACTGTGCTAAAGCTGTATGCTCTAAAGCATAAGCAGATCTGATGCTTTTCAAGCTATATGAAGATTCAGAAATTACTTTCATTTTTTGTTCGTTTCCATAAGGCTATGTACTGCATAGCCTTATGCAGTACATGTTGAGACTTCCAGTTTGCCTGATTCCTGACACTAAAAACCAGGAATAAAATTTGCTTTTATTTGGAATAACATACTTTTATCTCAATCAGTATATTGATATTGCAAGTCTATGTTATGCAACATGCTAAAATTAGACCTATATCCTATCACTTAATTTCAGCCACAAACAAATCTGGGTAACTGACTTGCTGAACCATTCTGACATGCTCTCATTCCATTAACAAGGCCTCATTCATTATGGAATTCCATTACTTCATATGATGGCTTTTATTTTTTTAAGCTCATTTAGAGGTTTTGGGTGGTTTTATTGTTGTATTACTCAAATACAAGTTCCAGTCTCAATTACATGTGGTAATCTGTAATACCTAAAAATTATAAAGCTATATTTATTGCATGGAAAACAGAGATTCCATGAGAACCAGATGCAGTGTTTCAATATTACAAATCTCCTCTATTACTGAAGTTTGGAAAGGACTATCCTTACAGCAAGATGATGCAAGTGCAGAGTATTCCCACGTGTGAAAAGACACAAAGATCTTAAAGTTTCCAATCTACAGCTGAAGATGGTCAATCATTTTACCAATACCAATTCACTACACTGTTTCACAGTCATTGACTACACAGACCCTGAAAGAACTGTCATTAGTTTAATCCTTGCAACTACATAGAGATTTTATAGTTGGCCTTTGGGTAAAGTCTGATAAGGTTAAAACAAAATCTTCATAAATATTTAATACAATGTTTAAAAATGTTTGTGTATACACATACATGTATTGCTAGTATTCTTTTTTAACAACATTTCATACAAAGACAGGCAAAATAATGAAAGAAACACATGGAACAAGGCTACACACACATATCATTTGGTGTAAATGCCAGCTGAAGCAGTTCTCAGATTCCCTTCCAGCTATTCACTCATTCCCATCATTGTACACTCCCTCAGATAATACTTGTAATGCTCAGGTATGTTCATAGGGCTTTTAGGGTTGAACCAGAGCAGGAAACTGGTCCACATTAAAATACGGTTAATTTCCTACTTGAATTATTTCTATTCTAAGCACATTCACTGTGCCATCTCAGAAGGCAGCCAAACAATCTTACAACTTTTCAACTGAACTGAGGGGAGATGTGCTGGATAGTAAGAAATCGTTGCTGGAAAGAGAAGCTGCTTAAGTCAGCATTTTCAGCCAAAAGAATCACACAGAAAACTGCACTCTAACACAAGTTATCTAGCAGTGCTCTTCAGATGAAGATCAACAGATCTCCATTTTGAAAATGCAGCAGTAAAGATATCTCAAGCACTTGCAGAATACAAATGTGAAGGAATAAAACAGCATTTGTCCAAGCTGAGGTCAACAGAGATACAAAATAGCATCAAGAGCAGCATTTGGCCATTTTCACAAAAACATAGGCTAATTTTTTATGAGTAAAGTAAGCTCAAATCTTCTCACTGATGGAAATATAGTATATACATTTATGGATTAAAATATACAAATAGACAGCTGTGCTATAGTTACACTTGCTATCAACAGGCATACTGTGAAGTGCTAAAAATATATTAATGTACAACATAACAAGTATGGGAGTTTTCCACAGCTGGCGTATCTTCCCAGAAGAAATCAAGTAATATTACCCTTCCAACAAAATCTGTTCTGGTTTGCAATTAGGGTTATTTAAGTAACGCATTTTAAAAAAAGCTGTGGAGACATCCAGTTAAATGAACGGGTTTTAATATGCCTTAACACTACCACATACCCAAATGAACTGAACTAAGAATCAGAAGAACTTAATATATAACTAACACAGATGGAAATATATGTGTTGAATTTATTCTTTGTTTTCCCAAATAAGTGCTACCCTAAATAATCTAGACAAGTAACTAGAGTGTACTATTTATGTACACAATATTAAAGTAAGTGTTATTCATTCTAGTTAAGTAACTCAACCTTACAATAACCTTAATAGGTAACCATAGCAAAACCACATCCAGTATAAAATTTTCAGAAAGACAATATGAACATATTTTTTCTGTCACAGTCCATATGCTTTCTACATTATCATCAATAACAGACTCAACACGTTTCCACCCCATTTTACAGTATTTTTTTCCACTAGACAATACACAGGCCTTATCAAAACAATGTGCAAATAACTCAAGCTCTAAAAATACATTAAGTGCTCTTAATTTACATTTTTAATTGTTCTTTAAAAAAAGCTTCCTAAGGAAATAACACATCATCCATGAAATGTCTGAAATGCTAGTAAAAACAAATGTAAACAGAGAAAAGGCTCTTATTAAAGCATCTTCTTTAAACTAAAACATTAAGAGCAAAAAAAGACATGGATTTGTATTTAAAGAGAAGTTAAAGTTTTAACTGAAAAGTATCAACATGCAAAACAGTAAGCAAAAATATGCCTGATAAATGCTCCAAAAAATAACAAATATAAAACCCCTGCATAAACAAGAGTACAAAGAAATCTGCAAAACTTCACAAAAAAGAAAATAAAAATATTTCAAATAATTATTTAGAAATCTTCAACAGAAGAAAAAGCGGCTACAAAAAGCGTCACACAATGTTTTGGAACATACCCGCATTCTACAGAACCTACGAGGCGATCCTCCCTTAGCAACGGGTAACACAAAAAATGAGAAGAAAATCATCCACTTACTCAAAATAGTAGCTATTCACTTATATTTCACAGATGTAGCTGATTTTGTTTTCAACAAACATATATGTTCTATGTAAGTAGTTCAGGTAGTCAGAAATGGTAATTAAACTAGAATTTATTTCTGAATAGGAAAACATTCATATTTCTTCCTCCAAGACACCTCACTAATAACATTTTGACAAAACCAGTATATATTCTATAAAAAACGTTTCAAGGACTCATTCCAAAATTTAAACAAATAATTAAAAGCACTATTGTTATTATACAGTCTATTCAGCATAGTAACAGATGGCGTTTTTAGTCCTACAGAGGTTCTTCAAAAAGCTGTAAATCTATAAAGCCCTTTTATTCCTTGGGAAGTAAGTGGTGTAGGTTTAAGTTACCATTTTCTAAAGGCTTCACACACCATTTCATGTAGTAAAACAAAGGCTAAATTATGCACCAACCCTTATTTTTCAAAACTGAAAGTTTTCGCAATTATAAATGGGATTTTCACCTGGCTTAAAGCTATTCCAATGTTTGCAAATTTGGCTTCTGTAAAAACTAAATACATCATGGCAAAGTATTAAATTTACACATGCATCAGTAACTTAGAGAGACCAAACAGCAGTAATTTTTGATATAACTGTTTCTTGTAACACTAATTGTAATCACTTCACTGCTGTGCACATTACAGTTACTTGCTCCACTTTTCTTAATGCTTTATTAATATATTAAAATTTTAATAATTTGTGTTTAAAACAGCTATTAAATATTCAAAACATGAAGTAAGTTTTCAGACCTAAAAATTACACAGATTTTTAAACAGTAACAGGAAACACTTACTACAAGCTAAATTTTCACTTTAGTAAATCAGAAATATAAGTATAAAATGCCTTACCCTTTGTTCCAGAGCTGACTGAGTCTGTTGTCTTAAAAGAGTTTTAAATGGCCCCCCTTCTTTTCCAGCACTCCCACTGCCCATTCCTGAAGAGTATCGGTACAAATGACATCAAGAAATATGTATTAGAATTTGTAGTCAAACTTTTACTTAAAAATTGAAACCAGTCAAATTCCCCATAATTTTAATTTTCAGGAAAAAAAATGCTGAGCATCAGTATAATTTGGCTCTGGGGCAGGGTATTTTGGGGTATAGTTTTCACATGACTAGCAGTGGGGTTTTTTAGCGTTTCGACAAAACTGCTCTGATCCAAAATCTTTTTCTGCCGTCAATCTGAATTTAAAAAACCTTCAAAATGCAAAGACTTAAAGGTCTGGGCTTGCAGGTCTTTCCTATGACATATAGGGTTTTTTTTTTTCCATTCTACTATTGGGAGTTCTGCGTACCTTTTTTGCTTTTCACAAGAAGATTTTACATAATTGCATTTTTAGCCCTCATCAAAAAGGGATGAAAGTCACCATTAATTTCACACTGTTGAAAGACCCTTTTTTGCCAGAGTACTCTATAGCCAAGTATCTCTATGATCATTATCAGTTTAAAAAAAAAGTAATAAAAATTTGGCTGAGAGTTTCAGAGTAACTAAATCACCTTTCCTAACTACTGGGAGAAGATTATACACATAATTACAGCAGTAACAATATAATGCATGTTTGGGACCAAAAGGAAAATTGCAAAGGCAGTGCAGATGATTTGATCTGAAATATGAACTCTGGAAAAAAAAAAAAATGCAATGAAATATTCACTCATCTGATCCATTCAAATAAGCTAAGGACTACTGCTCAGCATTTAAAACTGTCACACTTATTTGATTACTATATTTGTACACACATAACCTGCAGATTATCTGTAAATGAAAATAAGAAATAAACTCAAATTTTGCATAATATGGGTAATTCTCTCTTTCTTTCTTTCATATTTTTTACTCCTGTCCACCAATACAGGAGCTTTTCTTAAGAGATGGAAAGTTTATCAGATACTCAAATATCTTTGCTATTGAATTATCTGTTATCAAGGAACTGGACTCTTAATTGAGTGTGTCAAGATGCAGGTTATATGTATGACAGTAAGTTATTTGCTCTATGGTTAGAAATCACAAATGGTTAGAAATCACAAAAGTAAAAAATAAACACATACCAAGATTGTGTTTTTCCTAAAGTAAACACAATGCTGGTGAATCAGATTTTCTTGGTAATATTTCATGCCTAAAAACATACTATCATTGGTATTTCTTATATCTAAAACCATCAGTGCTAACTTGACAAAGCAAAAATAAACACCAAAATTATATAGGAAAGCACAGGATAAAGAACAAAAAACGTGTCAGGGGCAGGGTGAAATACAAACACCACAGTGCAAACAGTTATGAACGAAGTCAAGTTTTTCTTTTACAGACTTTATAACTAATTTAACTTAATTCCTTGCTAGTTTCCTTTTTTGTTCTGATCAAGCATCTATAAACATGAACTAGATTGTACATATACATCAAAGTGCAGTTATTTGTTTAACCAAAGACTGGGAGACTTGGAAATAACACTGGACTATTAATAATGTATGTTAATTCATTCCTAACACTTCCAAAAATTACTAGGCTATCATTACCATATAACACTATAATTCTTAACAAATATTTTTAGCTGTTCTTGGATAAGGAAACAAAAATATTAGTATCTGTATAGTCCCATTAATATTAAATTGCTTTTACTATTTGGCATTGATTCTAAACATCACTGTCAGGGACTATACAATATTAAATACAGACAAACATAGCATAAATACTGGACATGAAACAAACTCAAAAAATACAAAATAATCAAAATAGTTTATACAGAAAAAATTGGTATTAGCAACTATTTAAATCTATTAAAATAATGCATGTCAGTGAAATGGAAAAGGAGGCAGTACAAATAAAGAAGTTCGTATGTGTTTTGTTTAAAAGATGAAAGAGCAGAGTTTCTAGCCATCTGATGGCCAGTATTTCAATAAATTATTAATGAATTAATGAGCGAGTGCTTGTTCCATGCAAAATATAGAAACAACAAAGTGAAGGGAATGAGGGGGATTAAAAAAAAGTTAGTTATTTTAGTTCAATTACCAAAGGAAATTTTGTGAGAGAAAAGGAGAAAGTTCTGTAGCATATACTGCATGTGTTTCAAATGCTCTAAGGTCTGAAGCTGTTTCAAGCTTCTGAGGCAGAGGTGAGAGATGGTATGAATAGTCATGTAGCCAGCAGTTTTCAGAGGCTAACTGAACAAAAAGATAGCGTTATAGAAGGCTGTGTGTTAAATGCCCCCATATCAAATAACAACAACGTTTTCTTAAAAGTTTGTTTAAAAGGCCATAATAGATTGATCCTACCAGAAGCAGCCAGAAGCAGCTCTTCAGTGAAAGAAACACTTTTCCTCAGAACAACTGGGCTGACATGGCTAGAGTGTAGAGGGTTAAGGCTAGACCCCGAGAGGAGAAGACAGGACTTTTTAAGATGTGGGGAATCACAAGAGAGTGTAGGGGAGCTGGGAAACAGGAAAATCCTAGGTCCCTGTGGGGAAGGTGCTGTGAAGGAAAGTAATAAGAGACAAAGAGATGTAGATTTAGAAGATGACTAAAGAAACAGAGGAAATCAGAATGAAGCTTTTTTTTTTTGTGTCCAAATGAACCAGCACTTACTGCTAAATTATTTCTCAACATATAAAGAAATGGAATGACAATACAGCTCCACAATGTGAATGAGAAGCATGTTCTTAAAAATAACGACCTGATTTAACTGTATTTTGAAATTAATTTTTTTAAAAGCCATAATAATCTAACACTTATTTTCAATTTTATATAAAATTTAGTAACAAATACCACAGAGTAAAGGCTAAATAACACAGTCTTCTCACACTATTCATCTGATTACTTTTATTATTTAGGTATAAAAAGTTATTTTCCAGAGAAGTCATGGATTTTTTTTTTATTTTTAGAGTCATAAATCTTGTAGAATTCTCAGTTCCCACAAAGAAAAGGAGTTCCTACCTTCTCCATTTCCTCCAAACATATACTATGTCACATCAAAATATATTACCTGATTAAAATATGTCGTGCTTTTTTGTCTGTCTCATATTCTTTTAGTTCGCAGTGGCATAAAATATATCCCTGTTCACAAAAGAAGTCTAACTTCAAACCAAACATTCTCAGCACAGATTAATTTCCCCTCATATTTAGACCAGATATAGACCAGAATGGATAACACAATCACAACTGTATTTTATAAAAGGGATTAATGTAATATTCTCCTGATATGGAGCTACTGAAAACTGGATGCTTAAGCAGACCCAAGTTCCAAGTTCCTCTATTTAGTTATTTGTACTGTGAAACTGTGGTATCTGCGCTCTTTTTCCAGGTTAATCTCCACCTCAAACACACGAACATACTAGTTACCTGACTGAGAAGAGAAATATAATGTACTGCAGAAACATCAGAAAATACTTCATTTTTCACATAAGCCAATAAGAGTACTGGGTATTTAAAACTAGATAATGTTTAACGTGTCACATGAGATTTTTGGTTTTTTAAACACTAACATCACCAACTTTCACACTGAAATATTCCAACTTAATTTTTGGTAAAAGGTAAAACAAACAACTCAAGAGATACTGTCCTTTTAAGCTATTAATATTCAAAATCTAGTATGTCACACCAAGATACAGAATTTTTAAATGCAACTAGTAAATCCTTTTAAGACTAGTTTCAGTAGCAGAGTTAAAAGCTGCTAAGACAGTGCTAGTAAGCAAAAGTATGCCCACTCCTAGCTTTAATACTAAAAAGATAGCTAAAAAATCTTTATATACTTGAAAAATCCCTAAAAATAAGAGGTACCAATTACACAATCTGTTTCAGTTCTGAATGAACTGACTAAAGACAAGAGGGCACATCCATTGTATGTAACATTGCCAGGAATGACGTTAAGATTGCTGCTTTAAAAACTTGACAATTTAACAGTGAGCAGCTGCCACCTTCATAAATTAAGAACATATACATCTATAAAGATGACCATCTGTGTTACACAACATGCTCCTTATGATGTAAAATCTGATCAAAAGGAACAGGTTTTCAAATATTCAGTAAACCAAACACATGAATTTGTGGTTCTCCTATGTAATAAGTATCCAGTTATATTTGTAGGTCGTTTAAACAAGTGACCACCATAGATTACCCACAAAACAGTCATTGTTTATACAAAAGGACAAAGAAAAAAAGTGGGATTTTGTTTGTTTTGTTTAAAAACAGGACAGAAGATACTACTAAGACAGCTTCCTAATTGGGAACATTTTTTAACAGGTATCTAAGGAATAAACTGGGTAAAATATTTTATGTATCTACATTTGAATGCAACATTTAACTTACTGCTTGGAAAAATTCTTGAAAGGGGTGGTATCAAGTAAAGCTGAATCGACTAGTTTAAAAAATTGTCTAAAATTGTCTAGATTAGAGAGAGACAAGAATGTTCTGAGCTGCAAATACAATTTAAAACACTATTTAAAAAGTAACCAAACTTTTATAAACAATTCTGCAAAATATCTTGCCTTACAGTAGCAAAACTCGGGGCATTGGTCACATAATGGGAGAATAAACAGACAATAATTCTTTGAGTTATGCTGACATTGTTACTGACATGATTTTAACCACAGACTAAAAAATAAGGAGGGAGGAAACACCAAGGTGAAGAAATTACAACAGACCAATGGAGAAAGAAAAATGCTTTTTGAAGATGGCTGGAGTATATAATTCAACTTACTTTCAAAATGTATACTGTGTATGTAAAGCCAGTTCCATATACCCAGAATAATAAAAAGACAGCAGCTGTCACATTTCTAGCATTGCATTGGCAAAAATGAGTTAAAATCACAGAGAAATTTATACAATATACTTAGAGAACAACACGTAAGGCTTGAAGACTACATAGTTTTAGTAACACTGTCCTTATATTGTGGTGAGAAATGTACTCCCATGATTTGTAATATGAAATGGAGGAAATAAGAAAAAGGCAATTACTTACGACTCCCTTAATGCTCTGAGATGTTTTATTTCAACTTGAATACAGTTGTGTTACAAATGTCATTTTAACGTTATCCAGAATAGTGGAAATATAGGCAGGAGTTAAATTTTCACCCTACAGAAACCCTTTGAAGCTTGAGGGGTGCTATCTGAAGTCTCCAATTTCCAAATCATTCTGGTAACTTAAATGTCAAAAAGCAAAAAGGGGGTTGAATGAAAATATAAAAAGATAAACACAAATTAAACAAAAAGTGGGTGGAAGTGCCTTACCAGTTTTGGGTGTCAAACTCAAATCTGTGTCAGAAGAAGAGGACTGTCGACTGTAGGACTTGGAAGGTGAAAAGGAATAGGTTTGGTTTTTCAGAGGGGTGGAGGGTCCTGATGAATGAGTATTGGGATTGGGATCTTCATTGAAGGGAATCCTGCCAGAAGAAGGTGGAAACATATTCAGTAATCCTGTGCCAAAGGACCTGGCTGACAGCAGCATGATCCAAACACCAGGATGGGACTGGGGCAGGGCCAGCAGCTATTCCTTAGGTTCGAGACTGGGGATGAGGCCAGAGGCAAAGAAATGCTGTTTTACCCATTCAGCATTCTACAGATAGATGCTGATAATCTACAGTGAAACAATTAACCTAAATGAAAGGCATGAGATGTGACAAAAAAAATTATATATATGCAAAAGAAAAAATTCAAAATAGTTTATGGCTTAAAAATCTGGTCAAATACACAACACTTTGAGTTAGTTCAATAAAGAAAAAATGATTTCAAATTATATTTGTGTTTATACATATTCATACATTTATGTATATACACACATATGCATTTTAAAGAAAAAAAAATGTTTCCTTATCCTATAGCATCAGCAGCATGCCACAGCTAAAAACAGAGCAAAGAGGAGAACCTTTATGGCAACGACTATATTGACAAACAGTTCACTTATGCACAGATTGACTTACCTGCTCTCTAAAACCATCTCTTCCACAAATGGCACATACCCTTCCTATAATAATTTTAAAACCTAAATACCATATCTGAATTATGCTTGAAAGCAATTATGAACTCCAATCAAAATATAATTTCCACCAATGACTGTAAAATAGTGAATGTTCCCCAGACACATCAACTTATTTTTAGTTAATTTCTTAGGAAATAAGCATGTTAAAAAGAAGAGTGTGGCTTTGTGGAAGAGACTCCGATGCACTTTCAAGAAACTACTGCCTTTTTTTCAGCAGCTGCACACAGAGTAGTTCTTCACTGACAATAGAAGATGTCTCCATGAGAAAACGAAGGAGAAAAGATGGGTGGTACCTGCCTACACTGCCTGCCTGCCTGCACTTTGCGACCACTGTGCCTGTGGCCTGCCTCTCCCCAGCTCTTGAGTCTGAGCAGTCTCGTACCAGTGTAGATGAGAGTGGGAACAGACACAGAGAAGTTCTGAGTAAGTCGTGAGCCAGTAGCAGTGTGAATTGGGCTGTTGTGAGTCGAGCGGCATCCATGGCTTGGCGGATGAACCAGCGGAGACCTGAGAGAATTTGCAGCCAAGGTGGAAGAAAAGAAAACAATACATACAAACAGGTTGCAAAGTTATGTTATAAATGATTTCAGGGAAGTTTAGCTAGAGGAGATCTCTTACTTAAGCAGACTCTAAGAATTTAAATTCCTAGCATGCAAGCGTCCAGATGAAATAAAAGAGAAAGGAACAGCTTAAGCACTATCTTGTGAAAGCATAATTGATTCTTTGGCAACAGGGCATCAAGTTAGTAAAGCCAAGAATAAAAAGTATTAGTTGATTTTGCTGGCTTTAAGAAACATGCCCACTTTTTGGACTGAGGGACAATGATTCTGACAATGTCCACCACCAAGCTGAACATGGATTATTTGTGGAGTGCAATCTCCACATTTTGCTCCAGAGTGAAAGCTACTGATTTGAATGCTTTTTACATTGGTAATCAGGTCCACCTTTTTTTTTTTTCTTTAATCACCACTGTTATTTTATGCTGCATTGTATCCAGAAGCTCTTTTGGGGGTAATTTTTAAAATTAAGTTAAACAAGCTACAATTTGAAATAGAAACCAGTAATTTTGAGAAGTCAGAGCATACTGATGCCTGCACAACAAAAATGCCTAATTACTATTATAATGACACAACAGTTCAAGTTAAAGAAAATGGCTAATTCAATATCTCTGGAAACACAGCATAAGTAGTATACTTTGATGCTTTTTCCTTCCAGAAATTAGATGGCTCTATCAAACAGAAAATAACTAATTTATCTAAGCAACAAAGTAATAACAATCTGAAAGAGACTGCAAGTATTTTTGTAAGCACATTAGAAAATCGCATTCAAACCATGTTTGGCGCTGTAATAGATGTAACAAAGATCAAGAAATTCTACCTGTCATCATAAAAATATTTTCTCTGCAAGTACACTGTTTAACTCTACCTATTTTGCAATAGCCCCACTTGTTTTGCAACAGTAAATAGCAAAGCACAGAAGAAAAGACGAGGGTACTTCAGGATCATTCCCTAAATCACTGACTGAACAGTCTGAATTCAAAATATATCTTTTCTTATATGCTCAGCATAAACACTTTCTGAATTAAAAATTTATCTTTTCTTACATGCTTATCATAAATGGTCAAACCTGATTGTACCAAACTTGGAAAATCTTGAACAGAAGATGTGTCTAAGAAGTCATTGCAAAAATGTTTGTACAATAAACACAGAGTCAAAGCAGAACTGGCTATTAGTTAGGAAACTGGTGGATCATAACCCAAGGATATGCAATAGCATTGCTATATAAATTCAAAAAAGTCGTATTAAGTAAGGATTACCACTCCAGCTTCTAAAGAAATAACATAAGTAATCCAACCCAAAACATTTCAAAATTGAGGGATATAAACTGAATTGCAGACAAATAAAACTGCAAAAGAAAAATACATTCCAGAGAAAAAAAGAAATCACACCAGTTATGTAAAACTGAATGAATATGAAAAGAAGAGAGATGAAACTTGTTTCCCTATAAACTATTAATTCATACTTACTCCTTTATTTCTTTGGATGGGGAGTTACATGCAGGTAAAAATGCTGATGTGTTACTTATTTTATCCAACGTACAGGCTGTTCCTATGGCTCGCACTACTAGTCCAGACTCTCCCTCCAAATCAAAACACTGCAAGTAACCAACAACAGCATTTCCTCTCATTTCAAGCACCTTCAAGCCAATCTTCCTCTGCAATTCACCTACAATACAAAAGGCGAAGAGTTCATAATCACAATGAACCTTCCTTACTCTGTGGTCCTTGGACTCTGCTTTTGGAACTCCCAAGTCATTAAACAGGTAATAGAAACAACCTTACATAATTGTGCCAAGCTGCTGGTCACAATCTCTGCCTCCTGTAACATAGTATGATATTCATGATTTGCACAGCTTTTTTCCTTTTTTTTCTCCAAATCTAATCGGATTACCAATACAACATGTTATTTCAGAGAAGTTTTTCTCCGGTTTTTCTTTTCACTAGTTTTTCCCTTTTCTACCTAAGAGATGGTCAAGATGTGTGCTGAAACACAAGTTTCTAAATACTCCTTCATACAGTTCAGAACAATGTGACATCTTTGAAATCCACTTGGATAGGCATCTATAATTTTTTATTTACAAACTTATTTAAGTATATTTGTGTGGGGTTTGTGTGTGTGGTGGGGGTTTTTGATAGTGGGGAGGGTACAGCAATGGCCCCTGCAAGAAGCTTCTCAAAGGTCCCCAGGCTCCAAGTCAGACCTGACTGTCAGGGTTTGAGCCCTGAGGACAACTGAGGACCACAATGCTGTTCATTCACTCCTTCCCCCCCAGCTCTGGTAATGAGAAAATGAAACAAAAGGCTCAGGAATCGAGACAAAGACAAGGAGGGATGACTTACCCATTACCTTCAAGGGGAAAAGGCAGCCTCTTTAGGGGGAAAAAAAAGAGAACATCACTTTAATTCAAACACCAACAAAAACAAGACTTGACAAACAGCATTACCACATCTTTAAAACACCTTCTCCCACCCCTCCCTTCTCCCTGCAAAATCTTGACCTTCTTTGGGTGCAGCTGCCTGTTCCAGTGTGGTGTCCTCCATGGTACCACCACATGATACAGGGGGGTCCCTACTCCAGCACATCTTGTTCCTTTCTCCTCATTCCTTCCACTGACCTCAGTGTTCACATAGGTGTCCTCCTAACTTATACTCACAACTCCCAACCCCCTACTAGGTTCCCCTTCTTAAATACATTATTGCAGAGGTGCAGCACTCATTGCTAATTGGCTCGACCTTGAATGGAGGTGGGTCCAACCTGGAGTTGTTGGGGCACTTCTCAGGAGGACCACCCTTGTAGCCCCCTCCCCTGCTACCAAAAACCCTACTACACAAACCCAACACACTCCCTCTGGTTAAAGCCGATCCAATCAGCAATGGTGACCATGCTTCTGTGATAACATATTTAGGAGTGGGAACACCTATGCAAACACCAGGATCAGTGGAAGAAAGCAGGAGGAGAAGAAGGAGAAGGAATGGGGGGAGGTGTGCCAGATCAGAGAGACCCCTCCCCTGCAGCCTGTGGCAAGAGGGCTGGCTGTGCCCCTGCAGCCCATGGAGGTCACCAGTGGAGCAGATGCCAATCTGAAGCCCATGGAGTACCCCACACTGGAGCAGGTGGCTGTGCCCAAAGAAGGCTGGGCCTCTGTAGGAAGAAGCCCCCATGGCTGTAGTTTGTTGCTGAGAGGACTGCAACACCCGGCAGGGACCTGCGCTGGAGCAGTTCGGGAAGAGTTGTAGCCCATGGGAGAGATTCACACTGGAGAAAGTTCATGGAGGAATGTCACCCCTGAGAGGGACCCTATGCTGGAGCAGGGGAAGAGTGTAGGGAGTCCTCCTACTAAGAGGAAGGAATGGCAAAAACAATGGGTGATGGACTGACCACAACCCCCAGCCCCTGCCCCGCCACACCACTGGAGGGAAGGAGTTAGAGAAATCAGGAACAAAGCTGAGCCTGGGAAGAAGGGAGATGTGGGGAGAAGGTGTTTTTAAGATGTAGTTATACTTCTCACTGTTCTAGTCTGATTGTTAAATAGGTGGTGGTGGTGTGTGAATTAAATTATTCTTTTTCTTCCCCTAAGGAGTCTTTTGCTAGTGACCATAATGGGTGAGTCATCCCCCCCCTGTTCTTGCCTCAATTCCAGAGCCTTTTGTTTTATTTTCTCTTTCCCATCCCCCAGGTGGAAGGAGTGAGCAAGTGGCTGCATGGTCCTCAGTTGCCCTCTGGTTTCAAAACACAACAATATTGCAATCTAATTCAAGCACTATTAATTTTAGAAGAACAAAAAGCATAATATGGCAGCCTCATCTACAAAACATAACACCAAATAAACAAAACACAATACCATATATGCATGTCACTCACTGCAAACAAAAGGCTGACACTTCTCTATTAGCTGCACACAAAGACTGAAAGACTGCAACCATAAGACACTGGTGTGCCATAGATGCTTACTTAGCAGGATGCTTAAAAAAAAAAAAAGTTCATTGATCTATGTAGCTAGATAGCCTTGGTAAATACTAGGTGGAAAATATCATCTCTCTTCTGATGAAAGTGAAAGATTTCCAAAATCCTCTATTAACAAACTGAAAAAAACCCCACTGTCACAGAGGATAACCTAACAGTCCTGAAGTCAATGATGTTAGGAAATCAAATGGAATGAAGTGAGCACTAGAGATGTCTAGAAGCTTGGTTTTAAAATTACAGTTATTACTGTAAACTTCTTAACAGAGGCTGAAATTATGCCTTTGGTGGTGAAAAAGTTTGAGGCAGATCATTCAAGTTTCTGGATGAGTGAAAATTGCTAAGTATTCCACTGAAGCCAAGATTGAGAATGAATTCTTTTCTACATATACAACACATTATGACAGAGATTCATGAAACAGCCTGAGTCATGCCCAGAAGTTACAGTTTTCTTCAGGATTCTTTAGGTGTGACCACCAGTAACAATGATTGCAATGTGAAGCACTATATTATGTTTCACATTATATTATGACATGAAACGGTATTGCTATGAGGTCTTTCAGGTTTTTTCCCTCTTAATGACTGCCACAAATAAAAATATTAATAAAATCTAGCAGAATATTTCCACATGTGCTACTTTATCCACTTCCGCTATTTATGCAAGGCAAGAGATATACAAATGTTAATCCTGCACACTGACATACAGGAAGGCTATATTAAAAACCTCATAAAAAGTGAATTCATGTCAGTTTTGACATTGCTTTTTCACATTTTTCCTCAAAACATGATGGCCCTCCTAATGAAGATATTAACATCTCCATGATCTCTTTTATGTTTCTCCACTTACTAAAGATCTCCATGCATACTTGCAAAACCCAACTCACTACTTCTATCTTCCTTAAAATTAAAACACAGCTGTATCTACAAGAAGCCTGACAATATTAAGAGCCCATTAGAGAACTGAAACAACCACCTATGATTCTAGTGGCTATTTTTCATAATTTATTTGTATTCCTTACACCTTTAATATTGTCCACTTCTATCAACTGATTTTCTCTTGTCTTAGTGTACAAGTACTCCAGAGTAGGGGTGTTCTGTTCTGTAGGCACTGAAACAGGAGGACCGTTCACAACTGCTGTTTGTAAGCATCAGTAACACACACACACACAAAAAAAAAATATGTGCAAATACTTGATACTGTGGAGACATCAACTGACTTTTAATCACTGGTCTCTCCAGTAACTGCAGGTATGTCCTGCAGAAGCGATACAAGGCAATACAGAAGTATGCTTGAGAAACAATGAACCAATCTTGACTTTGAAAAGACAGGATAAGTAAGATAAGTGTTAATACACACTGTATCTGAGATGGTGTATACTTGTTCACATACTTCAAAGTAGTTCAAAGAGGGTGGTGTAGTTCGTTATTTTAATTGCTCGAGTCAAAATTCTATTAATAGTCCTCATATGGGTTAACAACATCTTCAATAAAGTTCCACAGGTGTCCTTGACCTTGCTAAAAACAACTAACAAAAAAAAAAAAAAAAAAAAAAAAAAAAAGGCCAGCCATATGGGCACTCAGTTAGGACAATAGAACCTTCAGAAACAGAAGACTGAACTGAAAAAATAAACATAACACATACCAAAAAATCACATATAATCCTGTCTTAAGCAAATCACTTGTTTAAATGGTATTTTTAAAAGCAGCAATAACCATTACAGTCTACGTGTTTAATACCTGACATGAGTGAAATAAGTCTTTGTCTAGCCTCATTCGATGCCCTTGGTGTACGAATTCGGTCTATCCATTGGTATTCTGGGTCTTCATTAACTACAAGTTCTTCCACAAATCCATGAATTATTACTGCTCTGTAACATTTAGGAATAGATGTAGCTGTTAAAAAAAATAGATATAAAAGATGTAAGACATGAGTCTGTGAGCCAAGAATTCAAAAAAACCCAGAAAATTACACATAAAAAGTGAACTATATCAGGAAGTAAGCCACATGATTTTCTGTTAAAATGTGGACATACCCAAGCAGTTTTGTTCTGGGAGACCCTGGAACACCGATAAGATAACAGTTCAGTACATTAGTTACAACACGTTCCATTATGAAACCTTTTTACTTTGTGCCTCTAACAGGATATGCACAGGCATTGAAATGCAATTTAAGGATAGAAAAAAATCAGTTATTTACATTGCTTTAAAATATGAACAGTAAAAATTTATTTTTTAAAAAAGCAAACTACATAATTTTCTGCGTTTGCTAATGGTTTCAATGTAATATCCACTGGGCTTAAGCAATGAGCTGGTGAAAGAAGGGAAACTGACAGAATGAGTAAAGAAAGAAAAGAAGGGGGGGCAAAAAGTTTCTGTTCAAATAAACTCTTTTCCTCTACTTACTGCAAAAAAACTTGACTCCACAGGATGACTGTCTAAATCTGTTTAAATCATTGAAGAGATCTACTTTCACCACCACATTGATCTCCCCACGTATACCTATCAATAAAAAAATATTAAAAATTAGAAGCTCTAGCAGAAACAAATACAAAACTAGCCATAGTAATTATTCTCTATTAATAGTAATTAATGCGCTTTCTATTACCAATGAATTAACTCTTCTGCAAAGAATGTACTATAACACCCTGCTAGAACCGTTCAGTTCAACTGGCAGTTCATATGTCAATTCTAGCCTGGGCCAGAGGAGCTGGAAGACATTTCCTTGTCTCTCAGGTCTGCTAATGAGACACCATCTCCAAGGAAGTTTCTAGTTCTGCCAAACCTTTGAGGCTGAAGTTATTCAAGCAACAGTTGTCAAATATCTGCTGCACCAAACAGGACTTCACAAGAAAGATGGGATTGGGAAAAGAGAAGCCATCAGCTTCCTGATACTGCAGTGGCCTCTCCTGCAGTGTGCAAGGGCTCTCTCTACTCCTTTGCCCTGTACCATCAATGCAGGAAGGGTATAAAACCAGTATGTAAGTATTGTGACTGTCCCAAGATATCCTTAGCACACAAGGTTGGATATACTACATGGAAATATTTTCTCAACAGACAACCATTCCTTTTTGATTTTCCCTTTCCTGTGCTGGGCTGCTTCTTCTTTTTCTCCTTTTTCCGCACCAAGTAACAACTTCATTTCACAAATTATAAGTTCTGACATACTGAGAACTAAACTTCTTGATGAGTCTGATCTCTAGTGTCTTCAGAAGCCTTTATCACTTAAGTATATGGCACTCAAACAGAAGCATTTGTTATGTAGATTGACTCTGACATTATTGCATTGAAGACACTTAACTCTATCTTCCAAAATGCCAGTAGAAAGAAGCCTTCAGTTACTGTAACAGCAAGTGCCTCAGGTTCCTACATTTTTCACAAATAATCATGTTGGGGTAAAAAAAAATTTTTAAATCTTGATTAAAAATTTATAAATATTATATTGAATTTTTTTAAGGAAGCATCAATTACTGTGAGCCAAGGATCGAGATAATTAAAATCTACTGATACAAGCATGAAAATACACTAATTCTGATTTTATTTAAATAAAAAAAGCTGTAAAATACTAAAAGATCTGCAAAAGTATTGAGAAAGCAAATTCTCTCTGACATACAAGTTGTATACACCCTGAGACAACTGTTACCCTAATTTAACTTCAAAAACAACCATACGACTGGAAAATGTGAATAGAAGGACAAGTAAGAAAAATACATGCAATATTTCTCAAAAAATCTCTTCAACACAACTTTTAAATGTAAAAGTACTTTGCCCTGGTTTTGATGATCATCCAGTAAATACCATTAATTATTTATAATTAGCTTTTAACATAGTTAGGTGTCCTGGTTTGAACTCGGCCAGTAACCAATCACCACACAGCCAGTCGCTTAGGTTCCCCAACCCATCCGGGTGAAATAGGGGAGGGACAAAAAAATAAAATTTTTTTTTGGTTGAATTAATTAGGTTGAATTAAAAAAAAAATTAGTTTAGTGATAGTAACAAAACAACAGTAACAACAGTGAGTCCAAACAGGTAATACACAATGCAGTTGCTCATCACCCAGTGACTAGTATGCAGCCCACCCCCAGCAGTGATCCCAACCGCACCGAAGATTCTGCCATGCCGATCGGAAATCGGAACTGAGAGAGCACATGTTTCCTTCATATACTGAGCATGACATCACATGATATGGAATACTCCAGTGACCAACCCAGGCCTGGCCCTCCAGCTGTGCTCCCTCTCAGCCCAAGAAAAACTAACTCTATCCTGGCCGAAACCAGGACATTAGGTCACTTAATTCACACAGGATAATGAACAAGGGTGGTAATGACAACTACACAGATGTTCTGCAATAAGGTATTAAAGCAGCAAGCTAATTGCTGTAAACTGACCTTGACTTTCTGGGACAAAAGCTGTGTTTCATTAAAGGCAAAAATATCATTAACTTCATTTTCTCACACCTTCAAGATATTCTGATGAAATCTACCTAGCACAAAGAATACTTTCTACAGGGAAAAAGAATCTCACCCTGTACTTTATGTTGAAGATAGGTCACATCCTGTCCCTCCATTTCATCATAGGAAGGCACACCCTGAGTGACGTCAGCAAAAGCATGTTCTTTTAGTAAACACATGGTAATTGGAAAAGTATGTTTTGCGTCTTTTTTGTAAATCTGAATTTTGCAGTAACTATTTTAAATACCACGTGAAGATTTTTTCCACTTGTCACAAGTTCTGTGGAAGGTGTTCTGCCAAGCACTAGTCTGAGCTACTACATGAGAAATTTTCTCATGCCAGAAGTAAGGAAAAAAACAACAAAAAGTAGCTTTCCAGCTCCCAAGACTAAAATTATTACAAATTTCTGAAGACAGTTTACAGAAATGAAGATTGTAAGAAGCAGATTACATCTCAAATATCAACATTTTAAAATTAGCAAATCTTACCATGAATGGTATCATAAATTGGAAACCATCCTGAAATAACTGTAGCTGCTTCACTATAGAGCAAAGGATCAATATCTATGTACACTTTGCCAATGGCATCATTAGCACTGTAGGTATCATGATCAAGAACTGTGATCTGGAGAGGTTCATCTTGTAGCTCTTCATCATCTACCTAGAAACAAATATGAAGATGGAATTTGAGTATGTTTAAAAAATGCAGGGAAACACTGCTGAAAAACAACTGCAGAAAAGAGGAGACAGTTATGTACAGTGACCTGACACAGACAAATCTGTCATTTTGGCTTCCTGTACCTAAACATCATATTCAACTTATTTTAATTTTACCCTTCAGACTGGTGAGATCCTGGAACCAGAGTAATCACTGGGAGAAGAGCAGAGAGGCAAGATTACAGGGATTACACATTTTAAAATTCCACATGATTTAAGTCACATTCACTAGATTGTCTACCCATCTCCACAATATACTTTTCATTAAAAAAAAAAAAAAAGAAAATTTAAGAGAAAGCATCTTAGAGGACTATTAAATTCTGAAGTTAGAATTATTGGTGCTCTCACCCTTCCACACTGGTCAGTGGCTTAAAAGAAGTCAAGACACTGAAACTTCAGTGTTGTCAGACATGTGCTTTCCTAAATAAATTCAATAATCCATCTGCAGATATCTCAATTATTTTTTAGGACATACAAATACAGACATTCCACAGCTTTTTGTGCTGAACACCACAAATCAAGGATCAGATTTGCTAAATGCAGTGGGATGACTCATGTAACATGGAATTCCCTTTTTTCCCCAGTGTTGCTGTTTGGCTCTTTTCTTTCCCAAATCCTTTTTTCCATGCAAAAAAAGATAGAATTTTGAGATTTCTTTTATGGTAAAAAAAACCCTCCACACAGATCAGCTCTTTCCCCTCCCCAAAAAATGACACCAGGAACTGAAAGAAGACCACTGATAGAATTTCAACACCACAAAGTACACCAAAGTTTTCAACACCACAAAATACACCAAAGTACTACTTCCTTAATCAACATGGATTGCTGATTAAGAGATGCCTTTAAACAAGCATTCTGTATTAACAATCTGCCTAATTTTACTATTTTATATTCACTCTAAAATATTTCTAACATTAACAACTATTACATCACTCATTACATGTACGTATATTTACAACCATGTTTATACTGTGATATCATCTTACGACACTCTGAATGAACGAGTACTATATATTCCAATGTTTTAACAATTAATTTATTTTAAATACTATTACTTTGTTTTAAAAAAAGAAGTTATCAGAAAAAGAGGAATATGTAAACACTTGTTCAGGGCATAATATTGAAGGACATCAATGAATTAGACCCTGGAAGGCAACAAGCGATTACAGGAAAATGATGAGTGCCCTCATTATTACATAAGGAAACAAAAAGAAAGTGTCTGATAACTGTTGTCCAAGATCTTTGTTTTGTCATTTTCTCATAGGAATTCTCCATTTACTTCTCTGTCAAATGCAGTACTTTTTCAATCCAAAGTAACATTTCAAATACCAGTTAACTTTACCCCTTTAAAAAAAAAAAAAAATACAAGCATACCCATACTAATACCTGAAAACCTAATCCATAATGTTATTTTTCCCCCACTTTCACCTCTGCCTTTTTTTAGTATTACACAGAATAATATTTGAGCTGGCTCCAATCTGGCAAGCTTTTATCTTTAGAAAACAGCCCTAAAAAGCCAGTGAGACACCTTCAGCAAATAAGGTCTCACTGTAGACAGGTTTGCTGAAAAGGCTTCATGTGTATTTAAACAGAAACACACTTCACTCCTTAAAACTCATTTTCTGCTTGAAATGAAATTATTTCATTAACAGCATCTAAACCAGAGTGTCTACACAGATACAGGCAAACTCTTAAAAAATACTTACTTCAAATTTGAACCACTCAGAATTCCACTGAGGATTAAGTGATTTGGGATACACATCTGTCTTAAATGTTGTATTTCCAAATTTTACCTAAAAATACAAGCATTCAGTTACTCACAATAAATATTAATAAATATAGAAACTCATTAAATCTACACATGCAAGTAATTTAAAATACATATTTCAATAATATCAATAAATCCTCTTCTTTTCAGTGAATGGCTTTTTAATTGATTTACATAGATCAGTAAGTAACTTTCCATGTATTAACAACAATAAATCTCTCCTACTATTAAAATTGTTTCTTTTCCTCCTCAATCACTTCAGATGTAAAAATACCACTTACATTGGCTATCCAAAGTCATCTGGTATAGTCTCTTTGCCTTCTGTTTAGAAATTCTGTAAGTAAAAGTGTTCTGTCTAAATGTTTATGTTCCATTACTGTTCTGTCTAGGGTTCCTGAATCAGCTTTGTTGACAATTTAGAAAAGAAATATAGAAATAAAATGGTAACACTGGTAAATTTATTTCTTAAATTTAAGAAGTCTCCCCAGCCCAGTTACACACTAGAAAAGAACTGAAGCCATCTCCGTTAAACCACAGTCTTGATATGCTGGACACATTAGCAGTAAATTCAGAGCAGCAAGGGGGAAGCACCTTAGCAGTTTCTATTCCTTTCTGAAAATATGGAAAATTTCAGAAAGCATATAGACAAGAGGGTTACTTTTGGGACTACGTATCTATATACTACATATCTATATACATACCTCTCTATATATATCCCTGTCACCTCCAGTTACTGAAAATTAAATATTCTCCATACTTCTATCGATAAATGCACCTCTAACCACATAATAGCCTATTTCAGGAATCTTCACTTTGTCTCCATAGAAGTCTATTTCAGGATGACCCCATTTGGTGATCTGTTGTGTGGGTTGTTTTTTTTAAAAAAAGAAAAGTGAAACAATTTCTGTGATGCTCCATACATCAAGAAACCCTGCTGCACAATGCAAGAGCCTTTGTTTCACTGCAGCTTTCATTCCAAACAAACTCAGTGCTCTGAATGTTGCCTCTCAAAATAATTAGTACTTCAATTCATACCAAGTACCTGATGGTACTTACAAATACCCAAAGTTACAGTTTTTTAATCATTCAAGAGTCTTAAGAAAATAATGAGTGTGCTGATATTAAAAAAAAAAAAAAAAGTTGCAGTTAAAAACAGTTGTGGATTTTGAACGCTGCTTTCTTTTTAAGAATGCAAATGGATTTTGGAGACTAAATTTTGGCTTAGCTTCTGAAAACTGAATAGTAAGTCTTTGAACACTTTTGCTCAAGAAAGTATTCAGTAATATGGTGATTATTTTGCACAGGTGCATACCCCAGCTCTAAAGAGATTCTGCACCTGCTTAAGTACACCTAGTTAATTTAAAAAGCTTAAAGTAGTACTGCAGAACTAGACTGTGAGTTCACACTGAGCTCTGTATATAACCATACATAGCTCAGTGAACAGAACTCTGTACAACATTTGTGACCAGAAAAATAAAAAACCAATGGGACCCATTTGATTCAATGAACAGTAAAGTTTTTCAAAAAGAAGTTACTTCAAAGTATACTTCAAAGTTAAAAATCAGAGTTAAAGTTAAAAGCCAGAGTGTTATGAAAACACAGGACTAAGCAACCTTAGTGTATAAGCTATCTAGAAGATGGATGCAGCCTATGTTCATACAGAAAACTAACTGCACTGCCACTTCAAATATGCATTCATCACACAAAGAAGTATAATAAACTGACACTAGTTTTAACTACCTTATATACCAGAAGATGCCAAGATTCAACAACCCAGAGCTCCACCCGACCTATTTTCAATGTTATCTAGGGCATAAACTAGCTCCCTTGGAGCTCCAGAAGTTTAGTTATCTTCTCCAGTAGTCAAGCTAGTTTATTAAACCTAGTAGAGCACTACACTGATGTCCAATGTACAAACTCACAAGCACAATTCTAGAAGAAACCCCTTACCCTCTTGCTACCAGGCCTGGTAGGGGAGGGGACCTAAGAGATGGGGGAAACTATGAACAGGTCCCTGGTCAAGGAGGCGGGAAAATCCCCTCCCGATCTCCTTCACCTTCCATAGTGCCCCTTCACAACTGATATGGGGCCCTGGAACTTGTGAATGAAGCAGAGAAGGATGAAGAAAATGAGTCAAACATGGAGGAAGATGAAGGTCCACCAAGGCCAGGTATTAAAACCTACAAAGAGCCACAGGAGGGTCATTGTAGTGGGTGACTCCATTCTGGGAAGTATCAAAGGCCCCATATGCAGACCAGACCCACTTCATAGGGAAGTCTGCTGCCTCCCTAGGGCCCAGGTAAAGGACTTCATAGCAAAACTCCCCACTCTAGTGAAACACAAGGACTACTACACTCTCTTGGTTTTTCAGGTGGGTAGTGACAGTATTACCAGGAGAAGTCCTAAAGCAATGAAGGGAGATTTCAGAGCCTTGGGGAAACTGGTTAAAAGGTCGGGGGCACAAATAGTGTTCTCCTCCATTCTTCAGCTGGGGGTATGGATGAAGAAGATTACAGAACTCAACAGATGAACTTGAGACTCCAAGACTGGTGTTACCATCAGGGTTTTGGATTTTTCAGTCATGGGTTGGTATACAGGATGCCAGACCTTTTGGCATTAGATGGGATGCACCTGTCCCAGAGAGGGAAAGGATGTTGGGGCAGGAGTTAGCTGGGCTCATTGACAGAGCTTTAAACTAGATTTGAAGGGGAAAGGGGATAACTGGAACTCCCAGATATAAGCCCCAGGGTAGATTACCAGAGTCTGTGGGCTGTTGGGCAAGCAATGACCCTCACCCTGCCTCAGTAGAGGCAAGGGATGGGGATATGCAGCACAACAAAGATGCAAGGGATACTGATGTATCGACCTGTGAAAGGACCTCTAGGACCTCTTTAGGACCTCTAAATGCAAAAAGATGGTGGTGACATCAGCCCATCTGAAGTGCATTTATACCAACTTACACAGCATGGGTAACAAACAGGAGGAGCTTAAAGCCACAATGGAACAGGAAAATTGATGTAGTGGCTATCACAAAACATGGTGGGATGTCTGCCATGACTGGAGTGCACCAGTTGATGGCTACAAGCTCTTTAGAAGGGATAGACAAGGAAGGAGAGGTGGTGGGGTAGCGCTGTATGTTAGGGACTGTTAGGATTGCTCCGAGCACTAGTGAAGACAGGATGGAATGTTTTTGTGTTAGAATCAGGGGGAAGGCCAACAGGGCAGATGTTGTAGTGGGAGTCTATTATAGGCCACCCACCCAGGACAGAGAGGTGGATGAAATATTCTATAAGCACTCAGGAGAAATCTCACAATCATCTGCCCTTGTGCTTGTGGGAGACTAACTTCCCAGACATCTGCTGAAAATACAACACAGCAGTACAGGAGCAGTCCCAGAGATTCCTGGAATGTGTGGGAGACAACTTCCTGACACAGCTGGTGAGTGAACTGAACAGAGAAGGTGCCCTGCTGGATCTCCTCTTTGTGAGCAGAGGAGGACTGGTGGATGATGTGGTTGTTGGAGGCTGACTAGGGCACAGTGATCATGAAATAATAGAGTTCTCTATTCTCAGGGAGGCCAGGAGAGGGGACAGCAGAGCTGCCATCCTGGACTTCCAAAGGGCTGACTTTGATTTGTTTAGGCACCTGCTTGAAAGGATCCCCTGCAAGACTCTCCTGAAGGGTATAGGGGTCCAGGAAGGCTGGGCACTCTTTAAGAAGGAAGTGTTAATGGCTCAGGAGCAGGCAGTCCCCAGGTGCTGTAAGAGAAGCTGGCAGCAGAGAAGACAACCCTGGCTAAACAGGGAGCATTGGCTGCAACTCAGGGAGAAAAGGAGAGTTTACAGCCTTTGGAAGAAGGGACTAGCCACTCACAATGATTACAAAGATGCTGTAAGGCTATGCAGGGCAGAAATCAGGAGGTCTAAAGACCAACTGGAAATTAATCTGGCTTCAGCAATCAAGCACAAGAAATGTTTCTATAAGTACGTGAGCAGCAAAAGAAAGACCAGAGAGAGCCTTCATCCCCTAACAGACACAGGAGGAAACATGGTAACAAATGATGAGGCTGAGGGTGCTTAATGCCTTCTTTGCCTCAGTCTTTAATAGCAAGACTAGATGTACTGAGGGAATCCAGCCTCCTCAGCCAGAAGACAGAGACTGGGAGAACGACCACCCCACAATCCAGGAGGAGACAGTCAGTGACCTGCTGCATCACATAGACACACACAAGTCTATGCGACCAGATGGGATACACCCGAGGGTGCTAAAGGAGCTGGCTGGGGTGCTCGCCAAGCTGCTTTCCATCATTTACCAGCAGTCCGGGCTGACTGGGGAGATCCTGACAGATTAGAAATTGGCCAGTGTGACACCCATCTATAAGAAGGGTTGGAAGGATGATCTGGAAAATTACAAGCCTGTCAGCTTGACTTCAGTGCCTGGGAAGCTGATGGAGCAGCTCATCCTGAGTGCCATCACACAACACGTGGGACAACCAGATGATCAGGCCTAGTCAGCATTTGTGAAAGGCAGGTCCTACTTGACAAAACTGATCTCCTTCTATGACAGGGTAATCCCCTCAGTGGATGAGGGAAAGGCTGTGGATGTTGTCTACCTTGACTTTGGCAAGGCCTTTGACAACGTCTCTCACAGCATTCTCCTGATAAAACTGGCTGCTTGAGGCTTAGATGGGCACATGTCCTGCTAGGTAAAAAACTGTCTGGATGGCCGGGCCCAAAGAGATGTGGTGAATGGAGTTAAATCCAGTTGGCAGCCAGTCACGAGTGGTGTCCCCCAGGGCTTGGTTTTGGGGCCACTCCTGTTTAACATCTTTACTGATGACCTAGACAAGGGTATTAAGTGCACCCTCAGTGAGTTTGCAGATGACACAAAGTTGGGTGGGAGTGTTGGTCTGCTCGAGGGTAGGGAGGCTCTGCAGAGAGACCTGGACAGGCTGGAGCCATGGGCTGAGGCCAACTGCAGGAGTTTCAATAAGGCCAAATGCCGGGGGCTGCCCTTGGGCCACAACAACCCCCAGCAGATCTACAGGCTTGGGGAGGAGTGGCTGGAGAGCTGCCAGTCAGAGAGGGACCTGGGGGGGTTGATTGACAGCCGGCTGAACAGGAGCCAGCAGTGTGCCCAGGGGGCCAAGAAGGCCAATGGCATCCTGGCTTGTGTCAGCAATAGCGTGGCCAGCAGGGACAGGGAAGGGATCTTACCCCTGTACTCGGCACTGGTGAGGCCGCACCTCGATTCCTGTGTTCAGTTTTGGGCCCAACACTACAAAAATTACATTGAATGACTCAAGCGTGTCCAGAGAAGGGCAACGAAGCTGTTGCAGGGTCTGGAGCACAGGTCGTTTGAGGAGTGGCTGAGGGAACTGGGGGTGTTTAGCCTGGAGGCTGAGGGGAGACCTCACTGCCCTCTACAGCTACCTTAAAGGAGGGTTCAGAGAGCTGGGGATGAGTCTCTTTAACCAAATAGTAAGCGACAGGACAAGAGGTAATGGCCTCAAATTGCAGCAGGAAAACTTTAGACTAGATATTAGGAAGTATTTCTTTACAGAACGGGTTGTTAGATGTTGGAATGGGCTGCCCATGGCAGTGGTGGAGTCCCCATCCCTGGAGGTGTTTGTTGGGTTGACAGAGTTGAGAACAGTCAGTGTGAGGTTAATGGTTGGACTAGGTGATCTTCATGGTCTTTTCCAACCTAGATGATTCAGTGAAATTGTGCTAATTTGCTCCAGATCATACATGCTGTCAAAGTCCAAGTTATGCATAACCTGAGCCAAGTACGAGCTCTAAAGTCTTTTCTAATTTTCTTTTCTAATTTTAGATTTATATTATAAAATTTAACAAGGAAATTAAAGGCTAGAAATCAACTAATACCTTAACATTACTTCAGCTTTTGATTTTTAAGTGAAAATGTTTTGTGTTTTCCTCAACCTTACACTGAAAAATAAAACAACTCTTTCAAGCTCAATTTATTTTGACATAAATCTCACCTGCTGCCTTGCCTACTCCACATGTGGAAAGGGCAGTTCCCACAGTCCAAGTAACAATCTTAAAACCAAGGCCCCATCTACATATTTCTTTAGCCTTATTTGTGTCAAGGCATTCATGAACTGCACATGAAGCCAGCAAAGCAAACTGATATTTATGAAAAAACATATTTCCCTTTTTTACTAAGCCTGTCTTTAACGAGATTAATTTCCAAACCTATTTTGCTACACAGCTGCTCAGACAGCAGGGTTGGTGCAGATGGATTAGGGTTGGGAACAAGTGACCAACAGTAGAGAAGCTGTTTCTCCCCAACGTAGCATAAAAGCACACCAAATGAAACTCAGCAGTGAACTGTATTTCCTACTCCTGTTTTCCCCGTCACAGCAAGTTGCTGTAGGCTATTAATCAAATTTAAAACTACAAAATAAATGTTTATTAAAGTTGACTGATGAAACGGCTGAAACCAAACACTGAAATATTGTTAAATGATTGCCATTCATGTAACAAAATAGAACAGTGTACTATTTCAGTGCCATTGAAAAGCATGTGAGAAATAAATTTTCACTTTATTACCAATTTACTGTCCCACTAAGCAATGCACTTAGTTTCTAATGTCAATCAAATTTTTAAGCACCAAACCAAATCAGGCCTTATATATCCAAAATCTGTTTTGATGTTATGAGCCTTTTCAATTTATACACTTCTAGAAAAACATTCTGTCTTCCTACCTTACTTACAGTACTGTGCCAACCTCAATTACTATTTTGGTACAAGCAGGCATTTATATAGCATTCCATTTTAAACACCTCTTTGCTTTTTCTGAGAGTATGATTTCTGAATCTATGGAATGTTACTAAAGTAAGTTCTAAGTTATTCATACTGGAAATAATGAATCATAAAATAGAAGGATCACGTCAACCTATTTATAACCTCTTCATGAGAAATACCCTATATATTGCTTGTTAGCTATGTGATTGTAAAGAAGGTTGAGGTAACGTACTTTTGGTGCGAGTGATTTGCACATGTAAACAATGCGTCCAATAAAAATCCTCTTCGAAAATATTTTAGTATTCCAGATACTTTAAATAGAAATATGATTATTGGCCTTAAAAGTAAAGCGTGTATAACTCTGCGCTTCATTCAGAGATACAAATGACTTAAACACGCTTTTACTACCTCTCCATCCTGCTTACAATCCGCCTGCCGAACCCCGAATGGACTCCATCTGACTGCCATACCAACAGGAGCCATTCATTAACAAGCCTCAGCTAAGAGAAATCGAAAAAGACCAGAGTACTTATAAAACGTCAGTCAAATTCTACAAGGCTCAGCTAAAAACCAAGAGTAAAGCAGCAACTGCTTTAGAAACATCCCCGCGGACACGGGCTGCGGGCGCTCCTGGCCGTTCCCGCAGCACC